TGAAAAGGATGAATTCAGTCAATTTCGTGTCTCTGTGTCACATGCCCACTTCCACCTTCTGCCCTTGGGCTATGGGATGCCCCTCGTCAGATGCTGGCATCATGCTCTTGGACTTCCCAGCCTCCAGAACTGTAAGAAATAAACTTCTTTTCTTTATGAATTACCCAGCCTGGTACTCTGTTACAGCAAGAGAAAACAAGACTGAGACACCATGTCTCAGCTCAGCTCTCTCACTTCCTGGCAGTGGGACTCGAGGCCACATACTTTACCTCTCAGGAACTCTTTCTTCTTATCTGAAAATGGGACAAGAATGTCTTCTCTGCTGACTTCAGGGGGTCAGAGAGATTGAAGGAGAAATCACAAGTGAAAATGCTCTGTGAGCAGTATAGGACTGTGCCTTTGTGGGTGACATGGCTTCAGCTGGCAGCAGGGCTGCAAAGCTGCTCGTTTGGGGTATCTTATCCCAGAAAGCATCTTGCTTTCTGCTCTAGACAGATGTTACAGGCCGAATTGTGTTTCCCTGAAATGCAAACATTGAAGTCCTAACCTGCAGTACACCTTAGAATGTGACCATATTTGAAGATAGGGTTTTTACAGAGGTAATTAAGTTAAAACAAGGTCGTTAGGATGGGCTCTAATCCAATATGGCTGGTGTCCATATAAGTAGAGGAATTTCGGACACAGACACATACAGAAGGACAATAAAATGAAGTCATAGGAAGAAAGTGATTGTCAACCAGTCAAATAGAGAGGGCCCAAAAGAAATGGATCCTGCCAACACCCCAATTCTGGACTTCCAGCCTTCAGAACTGTGAGACAATACATTTTTGTTTAAAGCCATGCAGTTGGTAGTACTTTGTTATGGCAGCCCTGGGAAACTAATACAGTAGCCCTGGACAGAACCCAGCAGATGTCAGCAATCCCAGAGAACCACACTGCTCACTCTTCTCCCACTCAGACCTCTCTGCACACACCTTTGCTTCGAACATCCAGTCCCTGTGGTCCAGCCCCTGCCTCCCTGGTCCTGGAGATTTCCAGTTGGGTCCCTCAGCCTGAAAGACCTGGTAACTCAAGACGAGTCCCCATAGCATCTTAGGCTGTCCCTAAGCAGAGACCCTCAGGAACACACCATGTTGCACAAGCAGGAAGTCACTGGAAGGGTCTTAGTCACATTGATCGAGAGGAAAAATTTAGCTTCTTCTCTCCCTTTTTCCATTGGCAGAAAAGAGGTTTATTCTCTAAATATGGCTGAGCAGGCAACCAGGGCCCAGGGCCCAGGGCCGAAACTCCCTCGTCCTTCCTCATGCTCTGGATGTCCTATATGGACATGCTGGCTTCTCCAGGTTGGGAGATCAGCTTGTGTCAAGTGATCAACTCTGAGCCACAGAGGCTCAGATCACCCTTGTGAGGGCACAGAACTCTGAGAGGCTGCTGGCCAGGGCCAGACTCACTTCTCCACTCAGGGATCATCTCTGCTGCAGCCGCTCAGCCCTAGATCCTCCTGTCCTGAGCTGAGTTTTGATTAGTCATGAGATGGGGTGGTGTCCTCTTGCCTCTCAGAGAATCACCTGACCCCAGCTTCCTTTCAGACCACAGGGGGCCCTTTAAACAGCTTTGGCCAACAATACAGGCTAAAGGTCAGGAGACCAAGACCGACATGTCAACACCGTGAAGATCAACCCTCTTGGAAGAGTTTCCAAGTCAAGTGATGACACAGAAATAATATGCAACCGTGGTAAAAGGATCTTATTTCTTCTGCACAGTCAGGGGAAAAATATAAACAAAACAAGGTTTTCTCAGTAAAATAAGGCCACCCGCATACACTCCCCTTAAAAATCTAGGCTTGCCTGGAGTAACTGTGGGTTTTGGTCTATTGTCATGTAACTGTCAAGCTGCAGCACATGGTCTGAGGCAATCTCCTTATTTGACTGGGTCCTGATTTAGGAAAAAGGGAGGATCCAGGCTTCCTAAAATCCACAGTCAATGTCCCCAGCTCTTCTCTCCTTTAGTGTGTATCTGGCAGCCCCACATGGGCACACCCTGGGACCATGGGGAGAGGGGTTTGAATTCCAGCCCCACAGCCTTGCTCTCAACTGCCTCCCACATACAAGAAAACAAAAGGTCAGCCACCCAAGCTCATTCAGCATTGCGGGGATGAGCCCAAAAGGAGCTGATGATCCCGGAAAAGCATTCACTCCCCAGTAACTGCTGGCTTGGGTGTTTCAGGTCCACAGGGAATCCTTTTTGATGTAGGATGGCGCTCAGAGTTCAGACTTTAGCTTTGGGTGTGAATGTTCAGTCCTGGTCGTCTTCTCAGTCAGTGTTTTAGACCTTTGCTGCCTCCTTCGTGCTTCTCCCGATCGCCCTAAATATGGATGTCTTCTAACAGAAGCTGAACAATGCTCAGACGTCAGGGTCTATGGCCTCTAATCTATTTGTGTGAAGGATCAAATGAAAATGGGCTTTTCCCGACAGTTCCAGGAGTGGATTAGCAGGCTGTGTTTGTGGGTGTTGTGGGGCTGGAGCGTCCGGAGAATCCATCTTCTGTCCTCTATCCGTGGAGGCGGCTCCTGGGAAGGGAGGTAACAAAGGAGCTGGCCTGGGGCCCATGTGTCTGAGGAGTCTCTGGAAGCCCCCCAGGGCAGATGGTTCTCAGCAGTGTGCCTGGAAGTTCCAGGGTGAAGGGAGCCATATCTGCCAGGGCCTGCCTGCATTTGCATCTTCCACCACGAAGCCGAAGTTCCCTGGAGTCCACTGCCAGGGACTTTTCCTTTTCATTGTTGCCTCCACATGAACACGAGGGCAAATAACCAAGCAGGAATGTACTTTTAAAAGATGTTTAGGGAATTTCCTGATGGTCACCACAAAGTAGTTCTCCATACTTTTTACTTTTGTAGCCTGATCCAGTTGGAATTCAGAATGATATCCTGGGAGTCATACAATCCGACGAATTTTTAAAAGTTCAATTATGTGTACTAGGTAAATCTTACAAAGTCAGGAACATAAGAAATATGTTCAGTAAAGATTTCCAATAACCACGTTTGAAAGCACACCAGACATTCTGAGGTCTGTAGCTGTCTGTTCCACCCACAGGCTCCTATATGGACTGTGACCTGTTGCCCGGACAGCAGCTGACTGTCCCACCTGAAGGCAGCCGCTAGCTGGTGAGGCAGCCCCGGCACGTGGGTTTAGTTAGGCAAGTGTTTTATTTCCTTTGCCTCAGAGTAGTTCCACACCAGCTGGAATCCAACTGACCCTGAAGGTCTTCTCAGGGAGTTTTGAATGGGGGGGCACACAGAGTGAGATGCAGAGAGAAAAGCAGGAAGCAGAGAGAGACCCAGAGGGAAGCTGTGTCAGGAGAATAAGAGATCCCCCAGGTTGGGAGCCATGGATGCCAGTGTCTGGGCAGTACAGTCTCCTCTGCAGAGCATTTTTCCTGGGGTACATTGATGGGCTCCTGACAGCTAGGTTTGCACCCCAGCCCTGAACTTTAGCTGTGGGACTTGGGCAAGTTACAAACCTCTCTAAGCTGCAATGTCCTCTTCCTCAAATCAGGATGATGATGATGATGATGATGATGATTATGATAATCTATCCCATAAGGCTGTTGTGAGCATCCAGGATAAGGCACACAGAGCTTCTGGGCCATGCCTAGCACCCAGGAAGAGAAAGTACTCAACAGCTGCCTGCTATCATCATTGTTAAGGCTGCCTTTGAATGAATCCTGAACGACAAGTCCTAACTGCACTGATGGTGTCCTGCCCATCAGTCTCTCTCCTTTCTCCTTTAAAATAAATATTCATGACTCTCTTTCTTTTTTTCTAAAAAAAAAAAAATTATGACTCAAAGTAACTTGAGTGTGCCTGTGTTTATTGCAGCTTGGAAGAGCCACTCTAGCACAGAAATGAAACTTTTTCAATACCACAGAGCCCGGGTAGCCACTCTCCATTTAAAACCACATGGGAAAAGCAGCCGGCCAATGGTTGGCTTGAGCTTTGAAAGGTCTGGATCTCAAGTGCCCTTTTGCATTCAAGTTTGCCTTTGGGGCAAACTAGACAAAATGCACTTATGGGGCACTGCTCTCCTGCCCAACGGAGAGGTGGTGAAGGCCCTTTCCAGACTGGAGTGGTGGAGAAGCCGGTGTTCCTGTCCAGAGGACACACTGCCAGCTGTGTAGGTTCACTGCTGACATCCAGTCACAGCAGCACCCCTGTGGGTCACTGTCAGCAATGAAGCTGGCTGCGCGTCTGTGAACTGGGCAACTAGGCATGTGTGTGGACTGAAAAAGGTGTACGTGCAAGAGTGTGGTATGTCCCGTGGCCATGGGCGCCTGTGTGTTTGAGCCAGGAGAGATGCTACACAGGCAGGGCTTCAGGGAAGCATGTTTCTGTGTGTCTGTGAGCTTGTACCTGGGAAGAGCTGTGTGTGTGTGGTGCTGAAGAGCTGTGGGGGAGGATGTCTCCAGCTGTGTACACCTGAGGATGGATACGTGTGCACAAGCGTGTGTGATCCTGTGCGTGGCCATGCATGCCCAAGTGTTTATGTGATTTTGCATGTGGCTGCTGTGTGCAGCCACTCTTTGCCTACAGCAGCTCAGCTGGCCCTCATGCAGAATGGGTGGGGCAGGCCACCAGAGTCACCTGGCTGACAGCGCTCTCATGACAGCCTTTGGGACCTGCTGTGTTCCAGGAACCAGAGCCATTCAGGGACAGGAACAGCTGATGAGACTAGGAATGAGGAAGTTGCAATGGTTCCTCTGGGTTTTCATTTCAAGGGGCACAAGGTAACCTTTGCCTCCACCACTTAGGCTTGCTCCTTGTCCCTTCCCCCAGGGAGGGAGGAGAGGCAGTTTCACTTTTCTTGCCAGTTATTTTCACTTTCAGACTCCCTTGATTAAACACTGAGAAAGATGAGGCAGGACTGGTGTGATGTGTGGCTCAGGCACCATCATGAATGTGCAGGGCCAAGGCAGGTGATCCTGCGTGGAGACGTCCTAGGCACAGGGACTGCCTGCAGATCCATGCCAATTGCTGTGATCAGCCAGGCTGTCCAGTAGAGAGGCTGTGACTTCCCCAAGCACACCAAACTCTAACTCTCTGGGTCCTGTCATTTGGGCTGATGAGAAGGCAGCTTCTGAGAAAAGACATGATTCATCCAAAGTAACACAGAGGTTGGTGTGAGAGCCAGCTGTCAACCCTAGTATTGATGGGGGACATCTGGCTGATTGGCCAACAGCAGGTAGAGGTAGGAGCTAAATTTCCATCCTTTATAATAACAGCCTTTGCCAGACAGCATAGCTCCCAGCACCTCTGTCCACCCAGAGATGCCTTCCTGGCCTTCCCTGACCACTTCATTCCTGCCCTCACTGTCCCTTCATGCCTGGGTCAGGTGCCAGGCAGGCTCCAGAGAACCAGACAGGCCCCAACCACTTCCTATTGGGCCCCAATCATCTGACAGGCTTCTCCCAGGGTAATCAACCCCTGCTTCTGAGCCTGAGACTTCAACCCTTCAGACAGGCCCTGCCTGCTCCCAGGAGGGTTCCTGCTGTGCACAGGCCATGGCAGCAGACCCAGCTTTCCTCCTGGGTCATTGATCCCCATGTCTCTCTGCCCCCAAGTCTGAGCATGCTTGGACCCTGCTGCATACTCATGATGGACTCTGCATGCTCCAGAGTGACTCCAACACCACACACACACACACACACGCTCTCTCTCACACTCACACTCTCAGACATACACTGACATTCACATGCTCACCACACTCTCGTTTTCTCTCTCTCACACACACACACACACACACACTCACATGCTCACACACAAGCTTTCTTGTTCTTTCACACCCACTCATACACTCACATTCTCACACATGCACTCATGCGCGCACACACACACACACATACTCCCACCTCTTATAGATGCTGTGTATCTTTGGGCTCTCCCCTCCCCCACAGACTGCCCATTTCATGGCCCTTATAAACTGTTCTGCTCTGCCTGAGGCTTGCCCTGCTGGCTCGCCCAGCCCACCCTCCCAGGGCACCATCTGTGTTTCCAGCCTGTGTTAACAAGATGTGTCCCAGCCTTCATACATCATAGGCTCTGCAAGGAACTAGCAACCCCCATACCAAAGAGCTGAGTTTCTCAATGGTCTACACTAGAACGCAGACTGGGGCTTCACCTGGCGGTAATGCCCTTGTCTTGGGTTCTAGAGAGTGGGATTACCTCTGGTCAACCCCATTGATACCCAGCCCTCAGGCCCCCAGTGGTTGTTGCAGGGACTTACAGGACAGTTTCTAGCTGGATGGTACTTTGAGCTCACACTTTCATAATTGCTTGTGGTTTTCTTTCTCTTCTTTGCCCATAAATTCATTTTTGGAAAGGAAGAAGGAAAGTCCAGTGAAGATAGCATGTGTCTTCACTGCAGAGAGCACCCACATTTTGACATTGCATGCAAGCAAGGATAATACCGTGACCATTTCTGAAAGGGCAGAACTGGACTTTTATATAACATTATTCAGGTTAATGACACCTTGGTACACATCTGTCAAATAACAAATAAAATGTATTGACTCTCAGTCTTCAATAACACTTCTAAGACTTATTAATACTTCTGGATTGAAGATATGTAAACAAAATCAATATTTATTGAAAAATGTTCAACATTTGAGAAATTAGATGAACCTTGTTCATTGATCCTGTAAAGTGTCAAATGTTTGACTGATTTGTTGACTCACATGCTTGTGAAATTCTTTCGGATGGATATTGCTTCGAAATACAATGTTTGTAGCACACTCTGTCCTATCTGTCTGTACAGGGTTTCTAGAGGAATGTGTTGATACCTGGTCAGCCCTGGGAGGGGATCATGGATGTGAGCTCCTTCCTTTTGCTCCGGGAGTCTGTTGTGGCTTCCACTCCTCAGCTTGGAGTGGGTCGGCAGCCACAATTTCCCTCCACAGCAGCCTTGGCTGGTTGACTGAGAAACCTGCTGGGAGCCTTGTATTTCTTTTCTTTCCTCAAGGAAGCTGGGCATGAGCTAGATCAGATGTGGAAAGAGCCAGTAGAGAATCAAGGAGTTGCATTGCCTTTTACTTGTGCAGGAAAGGGTCAGAACGGGAGGGCAGCAGGCGGACCCCAGCCTTGGTAGACTTGACAAATGGACTGCCTATCCACTTTACCCTTAGGGCTCTGCCCTGAGAAATAAGCTTGTCATCTGAGCTCAGTGAGAGAGGCAGGATGCAATGGCTCACGCCTGCAATCCCAGCACTTTGGGAGGCTGAGATGGGTGGATCATTTGAGGTCAAGAGTTCAAGACCAGCCTGACCAACATGGTGAAAACCCGCATCTCACTAGAAACACAAAAAAATTAGCCAGGCATGGTGGCATGTGCTCATTGTCCCAGCTGCTCAGGAAGTTGAAGCATGAGAATCACTTGAACCCAGGAGGCAGAGGCTGCAGTGAGACAAGATTGTGCCACTGCACTCCAGCCTGGGCGACAGAGCAAGAGACTGTCTCAAGGGGGAAAAAAAGAGGGAAACCTGGGGCTGTGCCTTTGGGCCATATAATCCAGACAGGCAGCACAGCCCAACCCATCTAGCATGAGCTGTGACCCCCGCTCTCCTCTGCCAGGCTGGGAGACAATAGTCATCTGCTAGAGCAACATATGGCGAATCCTTCCATGGCCATTGGCCTGTAACAACATCTCACAAAAAAAGAGTACACCCCATGGGGGCAGGGCAGTGGAAGGGTCATTGACATGGTTTTACATACAGAAACAAATTGTAGTATTTTTGTGAATGGTTATGAGTTTATTTTAATGTAAACTAGAAAATTGTGACGTTAATATAAACAATACTTATATCATGATATATTGCAGAGTTATTTGTTCAGACTATGCCACATCATCATATTATTTAGCCATTTTAAGTAAGATGGCTATACCTCCACAGGGAAAAGGTGAGTTCCTTAAGGAAATGGCCTATCCCTAAACTTCTGTGGCATCCCCTTGGAGCTGGCAGAGAGAGATCAATAAACAAGGTGAACCAGGAATGAAAAGAAGCATAGCTGGAAGTGCATCTTTCCAACCCTTGGCCCTGGACAAGGCAGGTTGGCTTTTACATCTTGGTGCTCAAATCAATCTTTTTAAAACATCCTTCATCTGCCCTTTATTGACTCCGGTCTCCATCCTTTGCATTTCTTTGGTTGTCCTTCAAGCCCCAAATCTCCTGAGGCCTAGAGACTGGCGGAGGACACGAGATTCAGAAATCTACAGGGGGAGGGATGCCTTCACGGTCATTACAGAACAGCCCTCCCCTTGCAGATTCCTAGATATATAAACATCCAGAGAAGGGCAGGTAGCCCTGGATGCTTGCATCCCATTGGGGAGCCATCAGAAGATGGGGTGGGACTGGGGGTATATTAGTTCATTCTCATACTGCTATGAAGAAATACCAGAGACTGGGTAATTTATAAAGAAAAAAGGTTTAACAGACTCACAGTTCCGCATGGCTGGGGAGGCCTCAGGAAACTTACAATCATGGTGGAAGGACCTCTTCACAGGGTGGCGGGAGAGAGAATGGGTGCTGAACAAAGGGGGAAAAGCCCCTTATAAAACAATCGGATCTCATGAGAATTCACTCACTATCATGAGAACAGCGTGAGGGGACTGCCTCCAGGATCTAATCACCTCCCATGAGGTCCCTCTCTGACATGTGGGGATTGTAATTCAAGATAAGATGTGGGTGGGGAAACAGAGCCAGACCGTATCAGGATGCAGTGGAGTGGAGGGCTGACTGGGTTCCAAATGGACAGGAAGCCTATGCCTGGGGAATTCTGAAATTTGTGCATTGCTGAGTGACCACTACACTGTCCCTTGGCAGCCAGCCGCAGGGTGAAAGAGGGTTCATTTAATGCCTCATCTGAGAACTTCAAAAAATGAAAAATTAAAAGAAACAGGAAAAACTCAGTTTAAATGGGAGTAGGCAGGATCATATCAGATCCTCTCAAATCTGATAGTCCCAGGAAATATATTCATTCATTCAACCAATATTTATGAGCACCTTCGGAGAGCCAGGCAGTGATCCAGGCCCCACACCAACAACTTTATTAAAGTGTAGCTGTTTCGAATGATTAAACCTGATCCAGGTCTTGGTAAGGAAGTGAACATTTTGTCACAGTGTTTACACACACACACGCACACACACACAATACTTTTAGGCTTTGTCCAAAGAAATGCAACCCCTTCTTCCACCAGTTCACACAGTCACGCATATATACGCCTTCAGCCCTCTGAGAGTGAGCCCTCTTCTTCCTGTGCAGATATGATCAGCCCTAGCCGACTATGGAAAACAGGGCAGACATTTGGCAAGGAACTCAAGGTAAAAGCCATCTATTTAGTCCCTGGGGCAGATGAAGGGCATGGAGGAAGGAGCCGGGGTGGCTCTGAGGCTGTGCCCCTGGGGCGCGATGCTGACCTCAGTTTGGAGGCTGTCCTCATGCTCCTACATCAGCAAATGTTTTTTGTTCCATTTCCACTCCAGGGCTGGCATCTTCCCTGTGTGGAAAGTTCTTCTGACTCTCAGTCAGGAATGTGGGTACTGCGGGGAGCTCAGGGAGCACAGAGGAAACTGACAAAGTGTTCTGGATGCAATTCACAACATTTTTAGGCCTCTGCAGAAGTGTGGCTTTGTGTCCTGTAAAACACACATGAATGGGGCGAAGAGAAAATAGAACAATCATGAAAGGAATGTCTGATGCTGAGGGAGAAGAGGGTGGTGCAGGGAGATTGCCCTTCTGATGGTCATTGCTGCCACTTACCCATGCCTTGCATACCATTAATTCCTTTTTTCTGATCTTCAGCCACAGCAACAATGACCAAGAATAAGTTAGAAAATGAGCCAAGAATGAGTCCAGGCACAGAAGCAAGCTGGTGTCAAGAGACTCACCATTGCCAGGTAAGCCAATACCATCCCTCCAGCTCAGGCTGGAGTAGGACCTCTTGAGTATGAGCCTGCTGTATTCATTGAGACGGGGTAGTGGGGTAGGCAGGACAAGGTGATTTACTCTAAAACAGAGGTTCTGAAACCATGGTTACTGGACCACCAGCAGCAGCTATACCTGGGGACTTGTTAGAAAGGAATGCAGAGGCTGGGTGCAGTGGCCCATGCCTGTAATTCTAGCACTTTGGGAGGCTGAGGCGGGTGGATTGCTTGAGGCTGGAGTTCAAGACCAGCCTGGCCAACATGGTGAAACCCCATCTTTACTAACAAACAGGAATTAGCTGCTGTTGTGATGCACGCCTATATTTCCAGCTACTTGGGAGCCTGAAGCACAAGAATCACTAGAACTCAGGAGGCTCACATTGCAGTGAACCAAGATCATGCCACTGCACTCCAGCCTGGGAGATAGAGTGAGACTCTGTCTCATAAAAAAAAAGAAATGAATGTAGAATCTTAGGCCCTACCCCAGTCCTATGTAATCAGAAACCCCAGGGCAGGGCCTCTTGCCATGTGTTTGAACAAGCTTCAGGGTTTCTGATGCACACCCAAGTGTGAGCACCAACACTCTCCATGGGCATCCTGTTTTCATCTCTCCACAGCGGCCTATGCCAGGCCAGGTAAGTGTTTCCACACAGACTTTCCAGAGCAGAATACCCAGATCCCAGGTTCAGCGAGTGGCCTGAGTCTCTGAACTCACCAAGGCCCTGCTGCTTCCCACAGGCCTCTCTCTTCACCAACTTTTACTGAAATTCCATGGAAGCGAGGAACACAGAGCAGCAGAGACTATTGGAACCCAAGATGTGCTCCTCTAGTGACCAGATGGGTCCACCTTCCATACAAGCCATGATACTTTCTCTAAGGGACTGGTAGAAAGAGAGCTTTGCAAGCTAAACCAAGGTCAGAGAAAAGACAGATGGCCTGGCTGCATAGTAAGATCAAAGTTAGGTGACTTGAGGGTGTGAATATCCTGAAATTGGGAAAGGATTACCTTTGTCACCAGAACTACCCCTAATATACTTTGGGTCTTCAGGCACAGCAAAGGGAGAGAAGCAAACTGCAGCTGGAGCAGATATTCTGACAGCTTTCCACCCTCTTCCATCATCAGAAGTTGACGTCTTTTCCCTTCCACCCTAGTGAAGCTTCTGTACAAAGAGAATGGCGAAGACTCAAGCCCCACAGCAGAGTCTGTGGAAGTTTATAAGAGCAGGAAAATGTAGATTTGCTAACTTCTGGGGGAAGTGCAGACTTCAATGGAATGATGTTTTTGCTTGGTTGGATTTTGTTGTTGTTTTTTTTGAGACAGAGACTCACTCTGTTGCCCAGGCTGGAGTGCAGTGGTGTGATCTCAGCTCACTGCAACCTCTGGGTCTGGTACCTCAGCCTCCTGACTAGCTGGAACTACAGGCGCCTGCCACCACACCCAGGTAATATTTTTGTATTTTTAGTAGAGATGGGATTTCACCATGCTGCGCAGGTTGGTCTTGAACCCCTGACCTCATGATCCACCAACCTTGGCCTCCCAAAGTGCTGGGATTACAGGCATGAGCCACTGTGCTGGGCCTGGAATGAATTTCCAAAAGACAGACAGGAGAACAATTGGGGGTGTCATGAGGTACATAGGGGTCCCATAAGGGCCACTCCCCTCTGGGTCACATAATACTCACCAAGGGAGCATCTTCACAGACTGAACAGTGAGACTCACATCTTGATATTTTAGAGAATATCAAGAATATTCTCTAGAATATTCTGGATAACTCCAGAGAATGGGTTATCCCAGCTTTGGATGAACAATGCCA